TATCGAAAAGAAAATTAAATATTTCCATTACGGCTCGAGCAACCGAGCTGATTTTTTTACCAAAAATAGAGGCATGCTTATACTTCAAATCCATACAGACAAGCTTAGTGAGGACCTTTGTTAAGTATATGTTTTTATTTTCCTGTCTGTGAAAAAGTAAAAATTTTATTGTTGAGGTCAATAGTGATACTTAACAAAGGTTCTCATTCACCTTGTTCGTATGGATTTGGAGTGTGCAGATGCCTCTATCCTTGATAAAAAATTGAGCCCATTTGATCGAGCCCTAATGGAGATATTCAAACTTTTTTTCCTTGTCTTGTTACTTTTGGGACACCCTGTATATATATACATCTTTTTGTTTTGACGAAGAATGCATAGTCGACACTCTTCACCTCAATCTAAACAACAATCTTTTTGTTCATTATAATTATGCTTTTGAACGAAACAAGAATTCATCTCATAACTAGTTGGAACGCTTTTTATTCTAGACTGAATAGTGTTGGATCTACATTTACTGAATATGAAAAACATGCATTTTTTTCTTCAATTACGAATGCTTAGCGTTGAATAGTATCTATTTTGAAGGGTGTTTCACCTACTATATGTCTTCTTCTAACTAAAAATCAACGCTTCAATGTCATCATCATGAATCCGCCTCTTTATCGTTTCTTTTGAGAAAGTCCATGAGTACCATTTTTTTTGCCAGTGTCTCGAGTTGCGCAAGCTTCATTCTATCATCAGAGGTAATATCTGATCGGTAAATTTGTGTCCAATCGAATTCATTTGGTAACACTTGAGCATAACCGAGAGCACAAAGGAGAGCGCCAAATTTGATACGAGTTCTTTGATGAAGAACATAATGATCGAAGTACTTCGTCATCCATATCCATCCGTCTTTTTTTGTTCCACTAGGCCAATATCCTTCGTATGATCGAGTAGCAGCCACATTGTCAACAACCATTTCCAGAAGAGCATCGTCAGGCATTTCTCTTACGAAATTTTGAGCTAATTCTGAATCATTCCGTACTCGTTTAGCTATTTGTGAATAATTTGAAATAAAGTGTTCGTAATGATGATCATTATGAGCTACATGATGTAACCAAGCGACATCAAATGCATTATCGTTCTTTTGATTGACGCCTTTCTTTCCACAAAAATGTTCCGCATAGGGCCAAAATTCGGCTGGTCCTAATTTGGATAAATCATGAAGAAGAAGTCGTTTGTACGAGACTTGATATGACGTTGAACGAAGCAAACGATTTATTCGAATACCGGCCACAATGATAAAATATTTATGTTTCAATACTTCCCACAAGTATTGAAAAAAAATAACAACAGCTGCCATGAAATAATAAGAAAAAATGTATGTGTACTATTCCTAAGTAAAAATCAATGTTTTCTCTTAACCAAAATAGAAAATAACACGTTCTGATGTAACAGTACACCTGAATCATGTAATTTATGAAGTAAAGAAAACATATTGCACAAGTAACACGTATTTTTTACTGTATCGCCCGATTTACTATTTACTTTGCTCTTTCCTTTCACTTCATTCCATCGTCCATGAGTTGGATGACAATGAATAGTTACTCATTACTTTTTTCGTTCTTGCGTTTAAATTGTTTTTCGATTGACTATGGACGACTATGTCATTAAAAAAAAAAAGCTTTTAGATAGTATTTCATCATCGTTGCACAATGAGTATTTCATTCTGCCTCAAAAGCATAATCGAATTGTATATATTTCCACTCTCTACTATCAAAATTGCCTGCAAGACTAGTTATCCAACGACCTTACTTACAAAATATTTAGTTATTCCTCAGCTCATAAAATTCTTCTAATTGTTTCAAACATTATAAACTATATAGATACTAAACTACTCAACTATGTTTGCCGCAGAATCAATATCAACTCGACGTATCGAAATCATTTCGAACTTTGATGTCAACTCTCAGGTTATTCTATGATGACAATAGATTTGATCCAATGGATCGACCTCTTCTAATCTTATTTTTCAATCTAACAGTTTATTTAGGGTTATTGGCATCTATTAATCGATCTGAGAACTTATTGAGGAAACATGATTTCATTGAGTCTGACTTATCTGAAGAAGTTATGCTCGATATCATATGTTGCTCCGTTTAAAACACATACGTAAGTTTTCGATTTTATTCATTAATGATCTTTTTCCATTTAATGTTCTATATAAAATCAATTTTCCGAGTTTTTCTTTTATCCATTGAACTAACTGCGAGGTGTTCGAGACGTTTATTTGAAATCAGCTGCACTTTCTCATCTTTGCCAATTATTATTAACAGATGTTTGTTGATACATAGAAATATCTTTTAAATGCTATATCAAAATGTAAATCACTCGACATATGTCAAATTTCTTTCTTCATTTAGTCAATT